GGGACTTCGGTGAGCAAAAACAACTTTGTAGGCAAATAACAACACGGGACCCTGATAATGATTGTTCTGCAAGCCTCAGGGAGCCAAAGGCATACAAATATTTTCAAGAGTAGTTGTGCAAACGTACCCGTGACGAAGTGATTCAGGAACAAGATAGAAAACAGTCCGTGCTTACTGTTGAAAAGGAATTGGTTTACCTTGATTTTCTTTAAGAAACCGGAGTCCAGTCATCAGTTACTCATTAGCGACTGCTTTGCAACACGCATACCATGTGCTAAGTTGGGTGAATTTGCTTACCCAACAGCACAAAATGTTGGCCTAAACGTTTCACATTCCATTTTGTCGACGATCAACACACCTGTAACTGCGGATGAAATACAGTTGGAAATGGCAGATTATTGAAAACAGACCTGAGATGCACCAGCCCAACGACATTCTGATACCATTAGCTATAGTTTTGAGGGTTGCGCCAGGTAGCAGAGCATAGTGAGGCATAAAGGTAGACTGCAGTCATCTTTCAAAGTGGGTGCGATATTCAAATGATCAATACCACAGAAGTTTCTGCTACCAGTGAAGTTGGTTTGAAACCAAATCAGGCCAAGGCGAGTACTAACTGGCTGGGTGTGATTCTAACACAACCAAAACTTGTGAAAGCAGGATTCGGTTCAGTTCACAAGAATCATCCCGAACATAGCGGCGCAAGACTCTTGTATATGAGGACTATTGTCCCGGACAAATTAGAGCAAGGTAAGCCGGGTGTAAAAACTGCCCCAAACAAGCAATTTATGTTCTGCAAATGAATACTTCCATGACAGCGCGTCCAGAACCCAGGGAATGGCAACACACATATCAGGCAGTTTTACTTATATACGACTTGATGGACGTGAAGTACTTTGAAAAAGTTGATCAGTTCCTTGGGAGGTGTTTGAGCTGTGAATGAGAGCATTCATCCAGTGCCCTTTGAACGCTGTTATACATACGCCAGTAGGAGAGAGAAAAGAAGTAACCGGGCTCCGACTTGACTTAAAGTAGCAACTCTAAATAACCTAAATTAGTCACGGATATTTGAATTTATTAGTGACTCATCTCAAAAGGAAATAGGTCAAAAGTACACACAAAAGTTTTGCAATTAATTACATGGGCTATTTATAGCTGGTTTCACCACTGGAGCGGAAGACATGATGACCCCCCCCATTTCACGGTTCATTAGGTGGTGTGGGAATATTGTATTGCAACAGAGTTTTGTTATAAATCCTTCACTTGTTTACTCAAGATATCTGTATTTTTCGCTAAGGCCGATGGCTTTCTGTTCATGTTCTGTTTGTTAAAAATTTCATTATGACATCATTGTGAAAAATACCAGAAGCTCTTGCTGGACTGACAAACCTACTGGAACGGGGAAACAAAAAACAAGTATGAATCACGAATTCAGGACGTTCCGGTGAGTTGAAAATTTTTTGAACATTTCGCGAAAATTCAACACACTGTCCAAGACGATATTGTACATAATTTATTATCATTTTAGACTTGTTGATCTCGAAAAGCGTCGATCAGGTACGCTTATTGGCTGGAATGTTTTTTTATGTCAGAGCTTTAGGAAGTCTGGAAAATACCAACAACACAGCCATAAAGGTGTACATAAAGGTGAGCATTCTTTTAATTTAGTTTACACAGGAAAAACATAAGAAAACCTCTCGAAATACACGCATTTGCAAACCAATTTGGTTTTCCGAGAGACCCACCGGGAACCCATCTGAATCTCTCGTTTGTGATGTTTCTAGAAATTCTACTTTATTTACCCAACTTGTATCCTAGTTGTCGAGTTCTAAATAGGTAGTTCATTGTTGCTTATTTAGTTATTGAAACTGAGTAGCGGAGCTGAAATATATCAAGTTTTTCTGATGAAAAGATGAAGCCGATGAAGCTAATTAGCCACAGCTTCCTGGATGTTATTACTACAGAGATAGGCTCCTTGAACGAGGGAACAAATTGATTTGGCTACGAGAAGTAGTCACCTACGTTGGGAAAACTCAAACTATGTAATCGGAAAACCATTACTAGTTGAGATTCGGTAAGTGACAGTCCGTAGAAACTGGGCCTCAACGATATAATTTAACTATTGAAAGTCCTGATTTCTCTTGAGACAAAAAAATCCCACAGAGTTGGTAAACCACGTACAAAGATATGAAAGCAGCACACTAATCACTAGGTCCTGTGACCGACCATACCAACGTCCGCCCAATGAGTCTTAGAAAAAAAGGATGACCTTTCGTGACTGAACTTTTCCAAATCCCTACATGTCATGTAATAGGACCGCCAGATTGCTTCGCGATATATCGAATATCGTGCCAACTGAATCGTGAGCCGGCCTGTGTGCAGCACGTTCAGCTTCAGGACATCATAAACGAGAGATTCAGCTGGATTCTAGATAAGTCTCCCATCAAAACCAAATCGGCTCACAAATAAGTGTATTTCGCTAATTTCGCGCAATGTGGGTTCAAGTAGAACATGATGTTGACGAAAACTCGGGGACTGCAACTATCTTATGAGCCCCAAGAACGACAATGCCGGTCGTGGACTGTCGAAGAATTTTCAGCAAAATTATGAGTAATGTATCCAGTCTTGGAATGCTGTTTGTTTATTCTAGGGGACAAGCTTACAACCATATCCTTTAAAAAGGCACACTTTTAAAAGGGACCACTTTCGAAGATGATATTTCCAGGGGGTCCTTGTAGAACAACACAGGGTGGTAATCTTTCTTCAACCTATAGTTTAATGAAACAGTCTGCTCAGAAAAATATGCGCAATGTTTCAAGTATTCTTTTAAGTGGAGTGTGAAGCGGTCTTTGTGTAGCGAATTAATTTAAGGAACATTATAAACAAGAGATTCAGCTTGGATCCATTTGAGTCCCCAGGTAAAATCACTCAATTTCGAAATGGGTGTCTCACCATCTATAACCTATCGACTCAGAGCACCATGATTACTTACTGATCTGGACTGATTAACCTCGAACTGATACCATGAAAGGACCCCGTCGCTAACCTCACAATATTAACACCTTTTTGGTTGGTGACGAAGCGCCTACAAGCCAAGTACCAACATCGGCGAGAGATCAACAACCACTAGTCATTTTCATTCCATGACCAAGTACTTTACGAGGTAACGGTAACATTTCACCTAATTCTTGTCCAGAAAACCGCAGCAGTACGTGGTGGCAAGCTGTCTCACACTATATCGAAAAGCGACTTGACAAATTTTCGGTGGGCACCGGAAGACTAAATATGAGATTCAGTTTGAGTAACCAGTTCTATCGGAGGGGTCTTGGACTTAATCAAATTATCTTCCTCAAAAATTAGGGGTGGAACACACTGGCATTTAACTTTATTCATCTTATTATAAAAATGAAAGAGTAATGAAAGAGTAATACTAAATGAATAAATAAATAAATAAATTAAATAAGTATTCGAATTGTCAGTCAGTTAATAAAGAGTTCCGGCTCAATTATGGACACAGTGTTTGCGGAAAGTGCTCGCTAAGATATTTTTGAATTGTGTAGAGAATGGCCAAGAGGCGACAGCTGATCGAAAATGAGGATCACTGGGACTTGAGTGTGTAGCTGGCTCCACATTTAGGTAAGCCCATTGTCTTTATAAGCATTTTTTCGGTGACAGAGTAAGGGTTGATATAAAATGATTGTACCTGCTTCTTTTGCTTCAGGAGCTTTTTATGGATGAAAACTGAAGATCCCGAAAGCCATTGATAAACCATATTGGAGAATGGACACAATTGCCGCCAAATAAATTCAAGTCTAAACTCCGCTCATGCACCCATCCAAACCATTCCAGGATCCAGATGAAGAAACTCCTCTCGGTCGATTAAATAACGGGATAGTAGCACTTGGAAGCTATTCATTCATTCAAACACCCAACTGAAACCTAACTAATACCCCCTTTTCAAGTGGCTAGTTCTTTGGCTGGATGAAACTGTGACCTGCGATAGAAGGGTAACGGTAAGCCCACTCGGTAACCGCTATTCCTGATATGAATGGGTCGGCCAATCATCCTCCACTAAAAGGTTCCTATTTGGTTTGCAGGTTCTCCATAAACTGCATTAGACCATCGTTGACAAAACAGAGGCAGTTTCCACTAAGTTATGGTCAACTTAAATGTACAGCCTGGAATCTATAAATGCGTCTTAAAGTGCTGATTTTTTGCGTATGTGGAGACTCACACTCAGGTGAGGAGAATCCTGTGATAGACTGTTTGGTCCGATAAGATTCTCAATGGAAAGTCAGATTTTGAAGGTTTGTGCATGAAGTAGAAATTACTTTATCATAAGTGGTCGTGTTTTATTCGTAATGCACTACTCGTAAGGTTACTGGAAATTCTTCGACAGCCCACGACCAGTTTTACCCTTCTTGGGGCCCACCAGGTAGGCGCAGTCCCCGAGTTTCCATCAACCTGGAGACACCAGAAACGAGAGGTTCAGCTGGGTTCCATGTGAGTCTCCCGCAAAACCAAATTTGTTTGCAAATGAGTGTAGTTCGCTAATTTCGTGCAATTTGGTTTCAAGTTGAACTGAATTGACGGAAACTCGGAGACTGCGCCTACCTAATGAGCCCCAAGAAGGGTGAAATCGGTCGTGGGCTGTCGACGAATTTTCAGCAACCTTATGAGTTATGCACTGCGAACATACATGTATCGCGATATCTTGAATATCGTAGAGACTGAAAAATGAGGCGGCCTGGTGAAGCACACCCAGTGGCCTGGAAACATCAAAACCGAGAGATTCCGCTGGGTTCCAGGTGAGTCTCTCGAAAAACCAAATTAGGTTGCAAATGAGTGTATATTCGCTAATGTTTTACTTCAATAATTTCCCCGCTTTGTCACATAGAAGGATATCCTTTTAAGGCGACTTCAGGCTTCATTCAGCCTGACAGATTTCAGCATTAGCAAGGTAACATTAATGGTCAAGTATGACAATATGGGAGATAATTTGTTTATTGACTTTGTACATGCGTGGTTGTTTAACGCAAAACTTTGTGTTCCAAAAACTGGAAGAACTCATCCAGCGTTTTTTAAGGATCTGTAAGAAGAATATGATTTCATCAGGAAATACTGACAGAGGAAAAGTAAATATCCCTCGGATTTTCCGCGTTGTTGGACAAATGTGATTATCCCGGAAATGTGGTCAACATTGGGAAATGTGACACAACTAATGAGTTGGATAACCCAATATCGAGCGAATGGTTAAATGTTCTCTATATGAGGTAGATTTTGTAACATCGCATTATATGAGTAAGAGGAGCATACAAGAAACATTCAGATAGAAGGATTCTTTCGTTTATCTTTTAGCACCAGAGCAGCGAACCCCAATCGGTGGTAGTTAATCAGGTAGACGGTTATCGATCTGTCCACTGAGTTTGAAAACTAACTTGCCAAGCTAGGTGGTCAATTCAACGGCCACCTGACCAACTGCCAGTTGATGCATCAAACCTACTAAAATTTCGACACATTGCAAATTCCAGTCACAGATCACCGAAATGCATAGTTAGCCCGCAATTTATCATTTTCTCCCCCCTGAGACGAATACGGCCTATATCAACAGAGCGGTTTGCTCATGTTGCGTAGACCATGTCAGTAGTTGCTAACCTATGACACCCAACGACTAGAAGCTGGTCAAATATAAAAGTGTCACCGTTCGATGTTATTGACCAATTTCACAGTATGAATTAGGTGAATTCCGCGTAATTCCAAAATGCTCAATTGATTAACCTCCGATAGCTTATTATATTAGTGTTATAATTCTCCTTTAAAACTAGCTGAAAAATTCGGCCAGCAATAAGGGAGTCTAGAAACGTAGTTGACGATAGATTTAAAATTTTATCAAAGTACATCACGTGTAAACGTGTATAAATTAAAGGGAAGACTTGAAGTTAGATTTGTGTTGAAAAGACGTGGGATGCCGAACTGCTGATTCTGTGCGAGCTCAAAGAATTCTTTGAGTTTGATCAAAATTTTAGGCTTAGTCATATTCTTTTAGAATGATTTTCGCAAGTAATGACTTGGATTTCTCCTGATGCAGTTGAGTCTAGTTGAGCAACACACCGCTGTCTAGTTTCGATGATTACCGGTGGATGAGCAATTTTGCTGGAGGTCATGTTCAGTGACTTGCACATGCATTTTCGCTATCTTTGATTACCGCCTGGAGCAATTTTTCTGCCTAAAGGCACGGTGTAGTTGCTTATCCAAAGTTTTTTTAGACATATCATCGGTTTCAGATACCATTAGGAAATACCTACGAGTTATAAGTTGTGTGCCGGTTACGCGGTGTGCAAGCTTTAACTGTGGCGCGTTTACAAAACCAGTGCACACGCGATTGGCCATTCAGGCGAACTGTTGCCGTAGTCTGTACGGGGGAATGATGATTGTACTTTTGCTGGGTCGCTCGTGCTGCGGAACACACCGAAGACGCTGGGCAGCAGATTGTATCGTACAGAGTTACTGGGAAGTTTGCGTCGTGTCGGGGCGTATATGTAGCTCCATATTGCATAATTAAACTCATTGCCGATAAACACAGCTAGAATGTCATGCACCAGCTAACAGATGGAGACGTTCAGCTGGTTTCAGCTCATAGATTTCAAAGAAAGTTTTGTAGATATTCTTATCCACTAGTGTTTTCAAGGGGACTGTCAAGATAGAGGTTGAAATACCACATTGTTGCATGGCGTTGGAGCAATCGTCGTTGAATTAGGTCCTAGTGAAAGGAAGAAGGCCTTCGCTGCGGACTTATCTATCCGGAAATGCCACCTGACCGGTTACAGACCGTTGAACAAGGAATCAAAATTCTAATCTGCATCTTAGTTACAAAACCTGGACATAGATCTTCTCCTGAATGTGTCTTCCTGGAGATTCATTGCCTCCAATCATTCGTCGGTCCAATAAAAGCAAATGTTACAAAGTGGCCCCGCGAATTCCGCAACAGAATTCCACTTTTCAATCGACGCAAAGCGAAATTCTACGAACAACACATACTACTCGCGTGCCTCCCGATCAGTAGTATCACCGTTACACTAGTAGCTTATTTTGTAATATTCTCCCATAGTTTTGGAAAGTTCATTTGAAACTTGGCATTCATCGCAGAAAAGGTGAGACAATTTCTATGACTAAAGAGGTTCCCTTCAACATTTTTTAGAATGAATGTTTGTGAGAGTATTCGACAACGGAGGAACATGTCATCGATACTTCATAAGAAGCGCAATTATGCTGACAATACGGTAAATTTGTTTAAATTTCTGGTCGTCCAGATCAAATTACCAGGTGCCCCCGGAAGCCGTGAGAAGTGTCCACCTGCCTACAAGCGAACGACATTGCTGGACAATTTTCTACCTTAGTTACATTCAGTTTGAGCAATTCTATCAAGAGTAAATTACCCGAAAAAGACTTTAGGTAAAACAGAAAATACTAAAACCACGAGAAGCAATAAGAAGCAAATTAAGCAACAAACTTCGGTATCACCATTCTTTGGATCGGAAGCAGGGAACAACAACGAAAATATCAAAAAAGGCATACTGTTCCCATTTTACACTGATAAGAAGCAAATTGAGCAACAAACTTGGGTATCACCATTCTTTGGATTGGAAGCAGGGAACAACAATGAAAATATCAAAAAAAGGCATACTGTTCCCATTTTACACTGTTTGATGTTCCCTAATTTCTTATCTCGTTATTTGATGGCGGAGAATATTCATAGATGTAGTTTATGTTCTAACCAACTGCTGGTTCATTCAGACAGTCAACAGATTATCGATGAATAGTTCGAATAGTTAATCTGAACAGCTATCAATCCACGCGGTCCACCTGATAATTAACAACCGAAGGCTAAGTATTTTACCGAAAAATGAAATTCACAAGTGAAATCGGATTCACCAGCAGCACAAAGTGGTCGGCCGGCAGGTTAAACACCCTGGAGTGGCTAATCAAGGGAATACATGTCCAACACCTCTGTGCCCAATGAGTATGAAATCGTTCGTATATGTGAGCTTTTTTGGGTCTGCCGAACGAAATTAAAATTGAATGGTACTGGTGAAATCTGCGAAAAGTTCACACGGACCTTCCACAGAGTTTGAGGGAAGTAAGCTATAGCCTTGAAACTGCAAATTTCTGCGTGCGCCGTGGATAAAAAACTATGCACGGATTATTTTTGAGATAAATGACAGAAATATAAAACGTATACAAAATCACATGGAGTGGTAACGCTCACTACCAACTTGGAATGTAGACGAACATCCCAAATAATCGTAGCCGTGAAAAGGATATCCCCACTCAATTATATTCCTCGCTGCCTTCCGAATCAAATTATTTTCCGAGAACACAAACAACGCGCGATTTGCGGAAGCATGTGTGTCTGGCAGTTCAATGTTCAAAGTCCTCTTCGCCAAACTGCTCACAGTATCATATCGTTCTTCCATCGGGAACGGTCCAAGTGCACTCGTCCCCGATACCGATCCATGTGTGGATGGTCTGTTGGAATTATTAACCGTGGAGGTAGCGGAAAATGTCATGGTGAACAGAAAATTCGGCACTTGTAAGACCCAACGACGTAGCGTTTTTCGACGTAGTCCGACTCAGCCGTATCCACAACCATCAGGCGTGGTCATATTTTTGGTGTGAGTTTGACTGGGAGGCCTGGTCTTACGACCGGAAATTCTGGACATCCTGCCTCCGGTGACAAGTGATAATTGGTCCGTGCCTGCTCAACAAATGGTTTGAGGCTGCACTTACCAATGGGGAAATAGGCACACTTGCTGCTTTAGCGCGGAGTCGTTTTTGAGCTCGCACACGAACGCATGCACACACACAGCACATACGCACACGCACGCATATACGAACGCGCATTTTAGGTGTCACCCGGCATTGCCCGGGTGGAGATGACGACGTTACTATGGCAGGCTTATCTTTGCACGCACTCGGGCGTGCGTCGGTGTGGTTGTACCGATGTGCGTCTGCGACAATGTGAACGGAGTTCAGTGTGACGATCAGACGGCCATGTAAGTTATTCAGCCAGACAGCAGTGGTTTCCTAAGTCTGATTTGGTTTTTTTGGTGAGGTTGAGATGGACGCTTAAACTGCTGCTAGCTGGAAGTAGTGCAGACGAGACATTGATTTTTACTCAACTGTAAAATAGCGACATGAGACGGGAAATTTCCTTCCAGTTCCCAAGGGTAATTTGTCTCCTCTGGAGGTGATATAGAAAGTTCAACTGTTTTAACCACCACTGATCCAGAGTAAATGAGGGTGAGAATTTAGGGACGCACTAAAAACTAAATGAGACACTGAAACGGCCTATCATTGGAGCATCTTTTGGCCTGCTGGATCACCATGCCGTTTAATAATTATGCGTTGGCGTCCATTGGGAAAACTAATTTAAGCAGTGATTTTTAGAACAAGCCAAGAACTCCACAGGACCAAATAAGAGATACCTTGCAGTGAGTGGAACTCCTAGTATGGAATGCGTTTTTCCGCATCGACAAAGGCAGCCATATTTTTGGTTACAACCCATTCACATCTCTCCATAAATAAACTGCAAGGAACAGGGAAATCAAAATGTCCAAGTGCTCCCGTGCACACTGTCCTGGAGACTAAACAAGCCCAACACGGTTGCCATGCGGCCGGGTTTATTGTCACTTCGCATATAAATTAAAGCCCTGTTCAGGCTGACGAATAAATGACCAGAAGAGATCGTTTGGGAACTTGTTAAAAAACAATTAGTAGATTTATTGCTGGGTCAAGTTTTTTTCTTTACGCAAAAGCTGCGTCAGGCCAACTGACTAGGTAGAGTTTTAAGGCAGTGGAACCAAGTACCAAGATCCCTTCTCACTAGCAAGCTAAGTTAACGGTAGATCTCCGCTAGCAGTTCTGTTGAGTAGTGTAATGAAACTGCTCTCGGTTAAGGAAAAATTACCCAAATTATTCAACTGTCGCAGTATCAACTCACCCGAAAATTGCGAACGACTCACCTGAACTGAAGCGGAAGAACCGGACCGCTAACCTAGCCCCAATCCATGTAATTTTCTATCTAGCCCAGTAGTTTTAACGAAAACTCTTAGCGCAAAAAACTACCACTTATTTAGCTTAGCAACTGCTATAGATCTTGGTGACTGGTTCTGCATCTATCTTGAACTCGACCAACCTTGCAACCCAGTCAGTTGATCTGAAAAAGCTTTTGTATAAAAGCGAAGCGTTTCCTAGGAATGAAGCTGCTGATCGTTTTCCGTAGCAAAACAATGAGTTCCCGATTGACTTCAGAGAATTTCGAAATTATGGAACGCACAGAGGTCTCTGGTTCGGCTTTGTGTGAATTTGTCTCTATACGGAAGTGCATTACACCTGTTACATTTACATTCAGATGAGGTACTTTGCGATGAAGGCACTACTTAGCCTGATGTAACCAGTCGACGGAATGTGCTCTCCTCTGGTGCTCGTAACTGGTGCTTATAGGTGAGGAGCAAGCAGACAACATATAACTATTCGGCTGAATGTGTAAGTTGAGTTCAACATTATATCTTTCATTTACGTGACGACAAGAGGATTCTTCACTGCAGTGTGATGTCAGGGTTAGAGACAGGTTGGACAGCCAGATATCATAGCACCTGTTAGCTGAATGTGTGATGGCTGTTCGAGACTTTCGCATCTCTGATCAGTGAAAATAAATTTCGTGACTGCCTCTTTTAATGCTGTCATGAATTATCCATTCATTAACGTCGAATAAAACACTCATTTGCAGACCAATTGGTTTACGGGGTTGCAAAATGAATGCATTGGGGTGGTTAGTCAATATTTGTCTATCATCCTTCATAGAATGGGATTCCGCTAGCAGAATTCCGTCTGCTGTTCTCGACCACCTTTTCTGATCATAGTTACTTGGCCAGATTGATAGAATGGCCAAATGACGGATTTTCACAATCACCTTGCGGTACAGTCTTATGTGCTTTTGTTTTTTGTAATGCACTACTCACAAGGTTGCTGAAAATCCGTCGACAGCCCACGACCGGTTTCCCCTTTCTGGGGGCATTATCTACAAGAATATACAGGAACGGAACAAATGTTTCCATATACCTGTTGTGGAACACTACCTACGTGCTACCGAGCATATCTGTTCAGAAGAACTTGGCACAAACCAGCTAGCGAGCAGTTTGGGCAATAGGAGAATATGTGGTCATAACCCCATCACGGACCAGAGTCTAAACTTTCAATGGTTGGAAGACCTCTGTGTATTTTTGTGAACATTCGTCAACCTTCATTGTCATTATCGTCATCATACTAATCGGCCTCATTGGTACTAGTGCTTTTTCGGTGAATATACTGTTGTCCATAGACCATAACCATTAGAAAAGAAGCCTGTAATAGGAGGAAAATCATAGATAAATATGCATGTCAGCGCAACTAAGTCGCACCTTTTTAGAAAAAACCTCCAAATGGAAATCGACTAAGAATAGATTCAAATGCATTTCATATTTGGGTAAAAGTACACCGGCGGAGAATTCTTGTAATCTATACCAAACACATCAAAAGGACACAGATATAAAACCAAGCTGAACCATCCGACTAGGTGGCTGAGTTGTCTGCCAAATCTTTCACGGTATCCAACCATGTCAGGAGATTACTCACGTCGCGCACATGAGGTATTTCATCTGATGAGTCGCAAATGTTGGTGCTGGAACACTATACATGGTTTTCTAAGGGTCTGGTGCAAAAATGCTGCAGATATTCCGACCTTTAAAAATGGTAGCCAACCATTTTCAAATCGGGTGGCACTAAAGACATGGTTAAACACTTGGTCATTCGTTTTCGCTTGTGAGTGACTGGAGGGAATTTTTGGTTGTTACACACAGATTTCATTTGGACACTCATGCTTCCTCCCATTGACATGGTTGTTCATGCCACAAAAAAGGATGAAACGCAGTCGCACCTACTGTAGATTTCAGTTGGACACTCATGCTTCCTCCCAATGACATGGTTGTTCTTTGCTTGCTACTCTGAAGAGCCCAACCCTTTACCCCCACACTTGCCATGCCACAAAAAAGGATGAAACGCAGTCGCACCTACTGTTGTAACGTGATACTACTTATGGGAGGGCAGTGAGTAGTACGTTCTCTCGTAAATCCTCCCCGAATCTCTTGAAAAGTGGGATCTAATGCTTTGTAGCATCTGCTTGGATTTGAGCAACAGTCAATGAATATTCAGGAAAGTTCAAGAAGACGCGTTCAAGGAGAAGAGGGATATTCAGTTTTTGTAAACAAAATGCATATGAGAGTTTTGCTTCCCTGTCCAACAGACTGTAACCGTTCAGTTGGCATTTTGTAAGAAATAACTCCGCATCGAAGGCCTTCTTCCTTTCACTGGTACACTTGGGTGCTAGCCAGGTTGAATTTGTGAGTAAATACTTGTGACGTTTAGGGACTTGTGTATGATAAAGATCATTCGTTACCACCAGCTAACCACAGCACTATTCCGTGTCTGGCAGCTACGTGTGCAGAACTCCAAAGGCGGTGGGAATAAATCGAAAGTCTCTGTACATTGTGTGTTAAAAAAGCCCCCGTCTGAATACACTTGATACACATAGCTACTTTATCGCATATTCTTCCTAGCTTAAGTGCTGATTATTCCGGGTACGGTAGATCACATAGAATTGCACTGTGGGCACTCAACTAGTTGTTACCCAGGCCATCTGTCTGTTACTTTATTCAGTTTTGATAGCATGGGATAAGGAGTGCTGACAAAACCGGGCAAGGCGTCAGGTCTACTGATTCACCTCCAAGGAGTTTATGGCTGATTCCGATGACAATTATTCGCTTCCGGTACTATATGCGGGCGAATATCATCATATCGTCCGGGGTATATATTGACCAAACTAGAACATACGAGTGAATCGATAGATATTTTGAATCTGCTACCAGCTTGCTGAGCTAGAGTAAGTGATGAGGACTGAGATGGAGTACTTGGTTTAAAAGAAGGCGCGCAAGACTCTGAATTCTTTGAGTTCGCTCTCTTTTTCAAAAAATGTTGTAAGCTGACTACAGACTACACACTCCGATGGAGCCGATAAACACGTGCACACAGGATACGGTGGTCTGATGAGTTATTCTCAGCAACAGATTTGTTTAGTGGCCTATCGGATCAAAGGCTACTTCAGATGAACAGCCTGATCGGTCATAGTGGGGAAAGCGGTATTTTGTCTATCTTGCACCCTCTGTCGATCGCACGAACAAACAACGATCTATATGTCTGAATTTCGGACAGTAATACCTTTGTACACTAAAGCTATTACAGTATTGCAATCACATCCCAATAATGAACACTTGTCGTCCACAAGGCCCAAGATGAAAAGTCAGCAAAACTAATTTAAGGAGTAGCCTCTCTTCATGCATTACTCGCAAGCGCATCAGTGACTGTTCTCTCGGCCTTCAAAGTGTACTTCAACCACAAACCTGTTCTCGGAAGTGAGCGTTTTCGGTCTGCTCTTTGAAGTATTTGCTCAAGAGAAAACACGTGTACAGTTGTGTCATTTTTAGAAGATAAAACTTCTGGGGAGATCTCTCGTGACCTGCTATGTTAATCGGATTTTCTGGAGCAGATGTGCAGAAGTTTTTCGTGCTCTAAACTCATCCTCAAGGACTCAGTAGATACAGTCTCTTTGGATACATTATTTCTTGCTTGAGGAAACCAACCACCTAAATTGTTCATCAGAGACACTAGAAAAGCTGCCTCAACTGAGGGCAGGCTTCTACAGAGCAGGCATTTTATAGCACTTGTGCGCAAATAAATATCTTACTATAGAACTCCTGTTTACTTAGATGGCATAGTTCGTTTTTATGTCATTGTTCAGGTACCCAAAGAATGCTAAAATACACGCGAATCCAGCCAGAATGTCGTTTAGTGGTCTTTGACGAGTGAGGATTTTGTGGCAACAAGCCATACTGAGTGGATTTTTTAAAGCCAACTATCACGGAACCGAGGTGAGACGGTCCCAACGTGAGACCGACCTCAATCGGGAGAGTTTATCGAGCCCGATACTTTAAATAAATAAATATATATATATATCATGCCATCCACACAACTACACATCATCCGTTTAATAAGCTCTCAAATAAGCTGTTTATCACTTCAGTCCTCACATAGTGAACCCTTTTCTTCACATTGTCTAGATTCTCCAGTCCATCTACTGCAGTTTATAAGACTGGCTAATGGTCTACGGGCAACCTGCTCAGGCTTTTTTGTCACTGCGTTACACATTTAACTCATAACACGATTTTGTACACTTGGGCATATAAGAAATAGCACAAGGCATTTGGGGAAATAGCTAGCTTTCCAGATGAACAAATAGGAGACGGAAGCAACCTTCTTGGTTTGTATTTTATTGTGTTCTTCCGAGGGCGCTTGAAGTTTTGTGGCTTTCAGCCCAGCACCCGCTTTAAGCGTCTTGTTCCTAGGCGGATTTTAACGGAGGGACTCGTGTTCTGTGTAGCAGTATTACTAAAGACCATATTCTCAGGGCATATGCAAGACAATTTTTCCGACTCACGAAGAACAGGCAGCAACTGGGGTTCTGTCTGCAAAGTGTGATCCTGTGGCCAACGTTCCATTCATTATTTGAGGTTGTATAAGTAACCAAAAACAGATATAGCATAGTCATATGAACCACAGACTATGAATACATAAGGAATAAAAACCTGCTTGGCGCATCATGTGCGCTCGTTTCAAGTACGACTGGCAACTCCGCCTATGCGATCTGGGTTCACCTACTTTAATTCCATTATTTAATAAAGCTGTACACTTGAACAACAACCCACGGACTCATTAAGCTCTTTGCTTAGTACATTCAATCAACTAGAACGTAATGTTGACTGAAACTCGGGAACTACACCTACCTGACTAACCCCAAGAAGATCGAAACAGATTACGAGCTGTTCGAAAGTTTTCAGAAAAATTATGAGTAGTATGTTCCAGCGCGAAAATATACTCAGTCTGAATTGTTAATTTTTAAGCCATCCCACTTGCAATATAACAATTTTACGCCTCCGAACCCGTACTTAATTCATTTTCATTGCTGAATTGAACACTAAAAACTGAGACAATGCTCTTACATCGAGCCACTTAAAAACACTTGATCTTCTGACTGGAAGGCAAACTATTTTATTCGCAATAAAACATCGAGTATTTACCATAAATTCCATCGTACAGCACGTCCCACGGTTTTGTGTGGAAATTTCGTACATAAACTTAAGTGAAAATGGCTCATATTTGTCCACAAGATTCGATTTACCACCATCATCGTATGAAATTGGTGGACACCACTAATACAGTTATTGACAGAAGGCTTCCATACCCAGAATATTCGAAGATGCAGAGGAGTTTCGCCGTCTAAGCGCACCTATATTTATGCCAATTTTCCGGTTTTGTCAATCGGTGCAATCTGCTCAAGCGTGTCAGAAGTTCAACATTTATCAGCTAAGCACGTTGGTTTGTACAAGTGGGGCGTGGTTATCCTCATCTGTCACTGCCAACTAGCATGACCCAGTTTTCCTAAGAGAACAACTAACCATCCATGTAAACCTATCTTCAGTGATATCGATTGCCCACTATGAAACCGACATGTCCCTCTTTGCATCTCGGGGGAATGTCTACTGGATGTGATAACCTGATAAGGCCAAACCAACGACACACCGCTTACCTCACCACAGTGGTCGTTAGCAAAAACATCGACGTCAGGGTGTGGTGAAGGAATAACATAGAACCGAGTCACAAATGCATGGGTCTGTTCGCATGCATTCAGCGTGACGGATAGCGAAGAAGCGTGTTAAACAGCGAAACGAGAAAAACAAAAGTCGGTCTTCACTTCAAAAATGACACGAAATTTTAACTTCATTATAAACAGTTACTACAATGAACTATTTTGTTGCATGCTACTCCAGGAAACCTGGTACTCATATCTGCAGACGTATCAAAATAAAGTGTGTGTACATCTGAACTCCGAAAAGAGCGATAAATAAGATCGCCACTGTGACTGTCACATGTCATCCCAGGAAAATAATTTGTGGCCAGATTTAAACACAGCGCGCCTCGGTTAGGATTATGCATAGCTATGTTGATAAGTGCTTGAAACTTCACAACAGAAACTCTTGCGACTATCGTAGCTATGGTAAGATTTTGGTAGTAGGAGGTGATAACCGCAAGGATGTGGAAGAATGATTCACTTTTCAACACTGGTAATCCCTAGGGGAGGTTATCGTCACTACTAGTACTATCAACTACATACGTGTTTCTTCCGGCTTCATTACTGATATACCCCAAAGGAGTCCGGAGCAAGGTTGTAAATGATCTATAGACGCGTTTTATTTGTGAGACTGCAACAGCAGTTTCTAAACAATAAAACTATTAACCATATCACCACTGAACCACCGCTATAAGCTACCCATTGAAGCCTTCACCAGACTTCCAGGAAGAATTAAGTCGAACAAAGGTGACAAAAATTAGTTCTACATAAGTAACCGAGGGGCTGAAGCTCAGAAGTATGGCTTCCTTACATCTCGTTAGTCGGCGTTTAAACCTATACCTTTGATTCATTGACTTATTCTTGCTCACCAGATTTCGTTCCCTTTTGGTATTTCGTTCAATGTGCCATTGTACAGTATCTTGAGACATTCACATACGGAGAGTTGCGTCCTATAGCTTAAGTGACTATCCAAATAGTTTTCGGAACAAGGATATATGGGGTGATGAGATCCGATGTGCTGAATTTTGAACCTAGAGAATTCGAATTTGGATACAATTAGATCAATTTGTCACAGGCAGTGAGCATGAGGACTCCCAGATGCCGGTAGGAACAACTCGGAGAGATAATCAAGACGACCATGTGGTTAAACAATACAGTTCTTGCTGATACATAGACACTTAGGCACACTGGATGTGTGACACCATTAAGCCCAGCCATAATTATGCAGTGTTTCGGCTCCCTTTGAATTTAGAATCTTCAAACCCGAAACTAGTATATCGAACACAGATAGCCACAAAACACAAAAGCGTTCGCGATGAGATGCGAAACCCCATAAAGATGTCAGACGACGTACACTGAGGATGCAAAATGATATGACGGCCAAAAGTGCCAAGAGTAGAACTGGTCGCTTCTCAGGAAAGACAAATTCAGCTGGGTTCCGGGTGAGTCTCCCGTCAAAACCAAATTGCGAGTAACGTTGCGCAGACACACGATGTAATGCGATGATACACTGGATCGAACTCTTGCCTGACACCTTTCCTCCCACTGAAAATCATTTCTCCTCCTTTGTGTTTTCAGGAAAGTTTATCAGGATTCCACTGTGGTCTGTCTGAAATGCGAACTGCATCTAAATACGGAACGTTTTTTAATCCCATGATCACTTTCAACGCTAGTACTACCATCGAGAACGCATGTCAACTTCGATCTATCCACTATCTCCTAGACGACCTGGTCTGACAGCCTTTTCTTCTCTTCTCCAAGTATGTTCCTTATTCCCCATGTTTTTCCGGGCATTGTTCTGCTAAACAAGTAACAATTCCGATCCATTTCAGTTGGCCCAAGTAAGCCTTATCTCATTCCCATCGCTTTGCATATCATTTTCCCTCCTTGTTCATCCCCTAACAGTGATAGACTGTTTCATTGATTTGGATAAGTTGCCAATTAGTTCAACTCGAGAGCGAATCTCATTGTTGGACATTTATCCCGAGCCCCTATACGGCAAACGTGACTCTCAGTCTCAGAGAATGCATGGTTCGAGAAATGTCAAACGTTTTTGCAAGATTCAAGGAAGGATATTAGGTCCATAGTATCAGCTGTTCTTTTTTTCCAGTCGTAACAGCGTTTTATATACTCATCGCATGTTTTGCTTTGATCTAATCACTTCAAAGTGCTGAGTGACTAGCTAGGCCTAAGTTTACTCGTTTGAAGTTTGACAGCGCTAGCTTGATAAACGGTCAGAGAAATACAAAAATAACCAGTGGTATTGCGTGCATTATGCACTTAAGTGTTGAGTGACATCCAGTTGCACGTTGAAGCTTAGCTTAAACGTGCAACTTGGTCTGCGGGCAAAAGATAGGACGGAAGAGTTGAGAAAACGTGAAAAATACTTCTATCCGTTTCAGTAAATCGAAGGGACACATGTCGGCTCGCTCTGCACACACCGGATAAGTTGGAGTAGTGAGGAAAATGTCGTGTGCAGTTAAGCTCTCCAGGATTTAACCAAATATTTACACCTTAAAAATCCAGCAAAACCCCAAACCCACGGATTGGGAACGCAGTGAATAACCAAAAAACTGTTTTCTGCAGTTGCCAGATGATTGAATTAATCAGCAGCTGGTTAGAACAGGAATCACCCTTGAAAGTAAATTCACAAGTTACACAAACTGGCCGGCTCATACGTGGTTCTGATATTGCTGGTCAACTTGTCACGTGTCTGAACCTACCAAGCTGATCCGCAGAGGATCGATAAAAGGGGAAGTGTTCATGTGACCATGCTTTCTGGCACTTAACTACTCCTTTCCTCAAAAACTTGTTATTTGGCGACGAATTAGTGTTCAGTTGGCTGGCCATAATGCATCAGCGAATTGAAGACAGGTCCCAAATGAGAGAACCAGACATTAATTGTCGAGCTCAGTGTTGAAGCCTCTTCGTGGTTTCAGTTCTGATTTACACAGGTGGATAATTCGTTCGATGAATATATACAATTGAATTAGACAGCTGATGCACAGATTTGGCTTTCCTGAATGACTGCTCACTTTGGTTTGAGGACACCTAATGAAATACTGTTATAAATTAGCCTTCGTACGGACGAGACCATGAGATTTCCTGTATGATGTTCGGATTCGAAACCGATCAAATCATATTATCTACTAGCGAGGTAGGTTTATGCCGATGGCAGTAACCCTCTAATTTAGCTCTCTAATATCCTTCAAGAATGAGCCGAGCATAAAATTGCAAGCATGAGGTATTTAGACAAATGCATGCCAGAAGTTGTTTCGGTAATGACTGCTAAGATTTCGGTGATATTTTCAGTGACATTTCACAATTCTCGCGCATGTTATTTGCAACAAACGGCATGCAATTTCGAGCCCTCAACAGATGCTCTGTATAGTAATCAGGCTAGTCATCAATATGCCATTCTTCGTTTTACAGAGCATCAGGAAGTTCGACAAATTCAGGGAAAACAGGCCTCTTCAGAGCGATGCTTTTTCGCAGTGATGGTTGCTGCGGCTCGGAGGGCGTCAATGTTTTTTTCATTTTTCTCTAACATGAAGCTGAATTGCGTTGAAAGACCACAAACTACTCTACAGCCATTTTGTCCTTATTTGGACTTATCGGCAGTGTTCATCCCCAGAATTAATTAGCGGAATTTGGACCATGATCCTCCCGGTCAATACTTGAATCATATACCTTTTGGTATTTTAATTTCCCACGGGTTTGTATGATAAGAAGTAATGTCAGGATAGGGATATAAATTGACAAGAACCAGTCCAATAAAGCCTGCTCTTTTTCACCGGCGTTTTGAGACTTCGTGGATCGTGTCTGGTCGTTCATCTAATCCAAAGAAAAACCTACAAGAAGACTGGTTGAGGCGTGCAGCTAACTTTGCCCTGAGTTTCAGTGGAAAAGTAACTGCATCTTAAATCTGTGATTAGTACGCATATACATATATATATATATATATGTATATATGAGTATACACATATATATTTAAATATGTACGTATATTAATTTATTTATTAGTGCGCTCCNAATTTCGAGCCCTCAACAGATGCTCTGTATAGTAATCAGGCTAGTCATCAATATGCCATTTTTCGTTTTACAGAGCATCGGGAAGTTCGACAAATTCAGGGAAAACAGGCCCATTCAGAGCGATGCTTTTTCGCAGTGATGGTTGCTGTGGCTCGGAGGGCGTCAATGTTTTTTTTCATTTTTCTCTAACATGAAGCTGAATTGCGTTGAAAGACCACAAACTACTCTACAGCCATTTTGTCCTTATTTGGAATTATCGGCAGTGTTCATCCCCAGAATTAATTAGCGGAATTTGGACCATGATCCTCCCGGTCAATACTTGAATCATATACCTTTTGGTATTTTAATTTCCCACGGGTTTGTATGATAAAACAGTAATGCAGGATAGGGATATAAATTGACAAGAACCAGTCCAATAAAGCCTGCTCTTTTTCACCGGCGTTTTGAGACTTCGTGGATCGTGTCTGGTCGTTCATCTAATCCAAAGAAAAACCTACAAGAAGACTGGTTGAGGCGTGCAGCTAACTTTGCCCTGAGTTTCAGTGGAAAAGTAACTGCATCTTAAATCTGTGATTAGTACGCATATACATATATATATATATATATACATATATATATATTTCGTAAGTAGTAGGCCACACTTAACTTTTCTTTGAAGATAGTTGATTCAACTCGCCATGAAAGAGATCTCATGAATTCCTCTACAGTGAAATTAGAATAACATTCATATTTTACGACCAAAATTGTGGTCATAAACACATTGAAAATTCTACTCAAAGTTATACACAGGTTTCAGTGAAGCACGTTTCCAGACTCGCAACCTTATATTTAAGGTCTCTAAAACATTATTTTCGCTTATGTAACTTTGTGGATAAATTTGGCACATTATTTATCAAAACGTATCCTCAACCAACCGAAATCTTCTGCACCATAGCCATGGGAGATAAATCATTATCTTTGCGTTATTGAGCAAGAGTATGCACAGACACGAATGCGAAGTGTTCGAACAGTCTCGTTTCCGCCGACGCACATCATCTGACAGGATTGTTGTAGGCTGACAGTTCCTCAGTAAAAATAACAGACGGTTACTATTTTGATGTAACAAAGAAAGAAAATGAACAATGGCTATTTTGTTCCCACTAGGAATGAAAATCACCAATAATCCCTTTCTTTCAGTTTGCTTTAGTTACTTTTTAGACAACTAAAGGCACAGTAAGGCATAAAATGATTAATTATAGATTAGCCCCAGGAGCTACCTCAAAAACTCACACTGATCTAAATACCAGGCTCTGTTTCAAGATAAATCTTGCATGGCTCATTCGTAATAGTAAAGAAAACCATGGGCAACTGTAGAAGAATCTTTTGAAGTACTGAAGAACGAATTGAAATTTGTGTGCCCTTTTCATGCGTATTCTGCTTTTTTTAAAAAAAAACTATTTTTTGACTATGGAGCATCCTATTTCAAATGAGTCTGATATCCCATCTGGTCTCAATAACTCCAGTTGTACGCAAAAATGGATCAAAACCTCATAAATGTACTCGAAAAACTCAGCTGCTCGTAATAATTATGTAACGTTGAGTATGAGTACTACCATCAAAAAATATATGCGCAAGGTCTCACTTCGGGGTCACCAACTGAGAAGCTCTCATCGCAAACGCTCTCTCAAACTTATTCATACAGTGGATGTGATATCTGTTTCTTATTTTGCAGTCATCAAGACGCACACTGTTTAATCTAGTAGCTCTGAAGACCTCCGGCTTTCCAGTTCA